ACTGAGCTTTTTACAAGCCGAACTCGAATAACTTGTAAGAAGCTCAGCTCGTGGCCACCCCTAGATAGGAATTGGAGTCAGCTGGAATAAGATTTTATTCCCAAGTACCCTCAAATGGGGAAATGCCATTTCAATCAAAAATGAAAATGGGGTTCCAACTCTATCCAATCAAACAATTGGAATCACAATAGGCCATTCTAATTTCAATTCCAAACTCTTATTCCCACAAACCAAACAATACCATATACTGGTAAGTGATCAAGCTCTTGTGGACAGACCTGCATGCATCATTTCCGATCCATTTATGGCCATGAATTCAAAGTTGGCTCCAAAATGGTTTAACCTAACCAAAAGAATGATCGAAGTTGGTTGGTTGATCTTGTTGTCGTCCAGAATAGACTTGTTCATGGGTCGGGTAGCCCGATGGCCTGGCCTGGCCCAGCCCAGCCTACACCCCGATCGGGCTTGGTCATGTAATTAGGCCTGCGGGCTTGACCTCGAGCCTAACACAGTAAGCCCGACTGTGTTACGGGCCGGACTTGGGATTTTTCAAAAAAGCCAAACCCAAGCCCGGCCTGGCCCGACTCAGCATTATATATTTTATAAAATACATAATATGTATTTTATATATTATATAAAATATATAAATAATATAATATTTATTGAAATATATATATTTATAATTTAATATATACATTCTTTTATTTTTTTCTTTATAATTTTTCTCTCACTTTCTCTCTCTCTATTCAGTCGCTTCAGCAATAGTAACAACATGGGATAAATTTCGGGCTCGAGCCCAGGCTCGAACTTCAGACTTTTTATGAGAGATAGACTCGGGCTCAAGTTGTAGGCCCGATGGTCGGGCCGGGCTCGGACTCAAACCTTAGAAAAATCTATTAATACAGAATGAAAACCCGACCCGAACCCGACCCATAAACACGTCTAATCCAAAATGTACACATGATTGATAGCAGGCAGATAATAGTGAAAGATTGATGTCGGGATTACAATTATGGTGGTTGGTATATAAGATCGCTTTTACTTAATAATTGGCAACTACTATTTCATTCAATGATCTTGGCCATCGGTGTGTCCTCACTCCACTAAGCATTTTTGTTCATGCTTTTGGCTTAAGATCATTTTTTGTTATTAAGCATATCCAAATATTAAGCATATTTGGATATGGTAGAGTGCCTTGCTTTCATCAATTATGAAATGCTATTTGCTAACAAACAATAATATAATCGACTTCTTCCGTTTATTCGTGCTCTTTCCTCGTGCTGATCCATTTTTTGTTATTATCTCTACTTTCGTCCATTTTTATTTGCACATCACATTGAAAAGACAAAAGAACCCCTTAAGGCTCAGTTTGGAAGCAGTGCAAATATAAATTTGTAGAGTACAAAATTTTATATTTTATATTATTTTATATATATTTGTATTGTATATATTTACTTTTATACTCTTTCCAAACTGAGCCTTATTCACTATAACAATAATAAAAGCTGTATCGTGGGAGTAGTTTTGTCTCTCTATTTTTTATTAATATAGTTAGGGTGGTGGTGCCCTCTCCCTGCTGGCTATTGGTATGGTTCAAAGTATTGATAAAGTACGCCCTGTATCATATCGTAAAAGCTATATTGGATGTATCGTATCGTATCTTTTGAAAACGATATAATCCGCCTATTTCGAGGTGTTTCGGATCCCAATTTTTTTAATAATAAAAAACATATTAAAATCTTTTCAAAAAACCAAAATTTGAAAAAAAAAGTAAAAATAAAAATAGAGCTTTGGCTGTTTCTAAATGCCGATATGATACAGCCAAAATTTGTATCGAATTGATACTTTGAACCTTAGCTACTAAGCGTTACCTTAGTTCATCTTGTGAAAATCGGCTTCAGTCAATGCAAAACAGTGTTCAAACAACTTTTATAGCCTTGCATTGGGAATATTTCTGTATTTTTGTGTTTTATTTTATAGGAGATATTCCACTGCAAGGGTTGTTGGAGCGAGCCTTGCATTGACTGAATCCGGGTCCCATCTTGTATTATTTACATGGAGTTCGAATCTGGTCCCAACAGAAGAAAATCATGCCACCTGTCATTTAAGACGTGTAGCTAAGTTATCATTCAATATGTTCTGTAGCTCGTTGGGCAAGTTGGTCAAGTTTTAGCTCAACCTTAGATTTAATTCTAAGAATAGGTTATAAAGTCTAAGTCCAACCCAAATGAGGTCAAGCCCAAATTAAATGATCCAAATTCTGTTTGGACTAAAATTTGATGCATTCAGGTTAGATGCGAGCATTGTTGTGGTTCGGCTTAATCAATTTATCTGCACTAAAAATCGATATGCATGTATATATATATATATATATATATATATATATATATANTATATATATATATATATATATATATGAATATTTATATTTATATAAATATGGTTTATTAAAAAATTTATACATATATGTATATATGTATATGCATATGTATATAATTGGGTTGAACTAAGGTTAAAGCTATTCAAGAATTAGGCTCGAACCCATCTGAAAAATAAAAAAAACACGAACTTTCCTCTTTCGAAGAAAAAGGGGATTGAAGTTGGGGATTAAATTGTGGGTACTCAATAAAGAAAAAGGGATAATCTCTGAGCAAGGTATATAAACTCTTTCCCTTTGCTTACAGTCCTGAGTCCACTGCCTGGACATTGTTTTTAGACTAAAACAATGATGGATTCATGGTTTCTGCTACATTTGATTCATTGATTCTTTTAAACCAAGAGCCTAGCCTGGGTTTGAGTTTTGTTGCACGCTGCCGTCACTCGTGAGAATACTGGTAAGAAGAAGGAATGAGGGTTCAGACTTGAGAGTTCTTTGAACTTTTAAAGCATGGATGAATGGGAAAGAATGCTGTTACTATAACATGTTTGTGGCTTTTGCTCGTGTTAAAATGGGATGGTTTTTGGGATTCTCTTGAAAGCAAAAATCGCGTATACACTAATCAGTGTTATCAGGATGTTTCTTTTGAGATCATACTCTAATCTCCCCTACTCAAACAGTTGTGAGTTGTGGCATGTATAGATAGGAATCTGTTGAAAAAAGTGAGGCCATCATGGTCCATGGAGGCCGGCCCATACTCGATCAAATAAATCCAACAGACCATACGGTATATGGTCCATCAAATCGTTATTACTTATCGTGGAAGAACACTTTGAAAGTTGAACCGGACGCTGAATTAAGAAGAAGATCGGTTCTGTCCCGTCAAGGTTGGTTTAAAAACCGCTTTAATAGAGATGAAAAATGAGGAAGTAATTGTGTGGGAAGCAAACCTCTTTACTCCAGTTTATTGGTTTTTGGGCTGGTGCAACTTGCAAGGTTTAATATATACCAAAATAAAACCACGAGGGGACGGAAACCGACAAACAATGGATCGGTCATTTCATTTGGTTAATTGAAGGAGCGAAATAAGTTCATAGGTCAGTGAGGCTCACGCTCTCGGGATTGATGGATTGTGATATGCTTAATTAATTAAAGAAATTTACCACGAGTGAAAGTGGTACTAGGTGCAGGTGTAGGTGGTAGTAGACATTTTAAAATAAATAATCGGGTTGCTATTTCTTGGTCACTGGTCAGTAGTGTTGGCATCCAAATTCCAACATTGATGAATGGGCGTCCATGATCCAGGACCATCCACACTTGTTTGAATTTTGAACTACAAAGCACTAGTTTTAGTTTATAAAACCCCAGGCCCAAACAAACTCCGCCTAGGCCTGACCATTCTGTTGATTTTTTTTTTGACAAATTTACCCATCGACTTATTTGTTATTGTCCCAAAGCCGAAGGGACAAGGGACCCCACCCACCCAATTTAAGCAGCAGATGCATCCAAGTCAAGATTCCATTCCATTGTGGCACACACGGACACGATGCCGATGGGTGGTTGTATTATTATTATTATTATTTAGGATCACATAATAAAACTGAGAATCAGGCAGCGGTAGTGGGCTCTCGTGAACAGGATCATGTCAACGCTGTCTTAGGGTTTAGCAGTCAGGTATCTGACCTCATATATGAAGGGGGCCCATGCTGGTTTGTCTGCTTTCGCTATCGGTTATTAGGTGGGGCCCGCTTGCTACTGGCGCACCGTACCGTAATTGCCTACAAATCCAACCCCATGGACGTTGTATGTATTCGCTAAGTTACAATTTACAAATTACAATCGTTAGGTTCTTGCGGTAATTATGTGTGAACCGGAGGGCATTACTTTTTGCTTAAATCAGTCATCATCTCATCCCGCAATAATTAATGCATAAACAGGACGGGTTCGTTCAATCGCGTCGGGTACTAAGCTTATTAAAATGTTCTACATGCTGAACTGAAGCATTTGAATTTTGAGTGAGGTTGGGTTGCCAGTTGCCAGTTTGCCACATCAGAATTATAGAAATCGTAAGAGTCTCCAATCCATGGGTTAGATTTTTTGTTTCCCGCGCCAATGGACGGTTGGTGTTTTCCTCATCTGAGATCGATGGCTGGTTTTTGTTTATCCTGTCATTGGCGGGAAAAGCCATATATAGTAGAGATATTTTTATACTAGTTGGGCACATGGGTGGAGTTGGAGGCGCACGGTCAGTGGGCCCCGGTTTGTCGGATAAGGCCACGATGAGGTCGGAATCGGAGCAAAAAAAAGTGAAAACGTCCCCCCTCCCCCCTCGTGGGCCCTGCCTACGCATTTCCGGTTTCCGTTACGGTTCTCGACGTTTCTCTTTTTCGGCCAAGGGTATTTAAGTCAAATTAAAAGCCACTAGGCACATGTGGTCAAACAGTCAAAACCATCTATCCCCTCCAAACAGAACCGCTAGCGGTCTTTGCAACGAGCTTCAGCTCGGAGCGCTGTATTAACGAACCCTTGGGCCTTACGTGGCAACAAATTATTGGAAACATTCGGGTCGTCGGGATTCAGAACATGAGAAAAAAAAAAGAAAACAAAAGGAAAGCACAGTCACTCTCATTTCTTCCCACAAACTCTCTCTCTCTCTCTCTCTCCCCCTGTCTAACTTCTTCTCCTGTCTGTGTTTTTTCTCCTCTGAATTTCCTCATTTTCTCCTAGTTTTCTAATTTTTTTATTCCTAAAAAATTCAATTACGGATTCTTCAATGCACGATCTATCGGTTTCATGCAATTTAGAGCTCTGATCGCCGATTTTGTTATCTGATTTTAATTCCTTGTGAATTCGATAAAGTGAGGCCACAAGAAATGCTCGAGCCAGTTGAGAGTTCAGTGAATGGAGGATTTTCGCAGTTGCAGAGCTGCGGAGAAAGCAGCGAAGAGGAACTCTCTGTTCTTCCTCGTCACACCAAGGTCGTTGTCACTGGTAATAATCGTACCAAATCCGTCCTCGTCGGACTCCAAGGCGTGGTCAAGAAAGCTGTTGGGCTTGGCGGTTGGCATTGGCTGGTAAATTCTGTTAGAAATTTGATATTTGATTTATGAATTTTGGTGTTCTTAGGGAAATGCCTTTACTTTTTGGGTTGAGACTGAATGTAGTTTGTCAGAGAATTTTGGGGGTTTTGTTCGAGAGGTTTGATTTGATGAGTTTTGTGCAATGTGGGATAATTGGATAGAATTCACATTGATTTTTCATTTTAGTATTAGTTGGTTCTTACTTTAGTTATTTATTTGGATTTGGTGCTCCTTCCACTGTCGCTTTGATTTTGTTTTGTTTCTTGCTGTTGCATTCCCTTATTCTGTATTCGATCAATTTGCAGAATTTGGTTTCTTTCGTTACTTTTCTTATTGCATGAATTACATTTTCTTTTTATGACTTAATCTTTATTGATATTGGATTGGCCATTTGGGTTTGGTTAACATGTGGGTTTTATACGTGGATCTGGATTTCTATATGTGGACTTTGATCAAGTCCTAAAGATTCATGCTTTTATCCTTCTAATTTTGAGTTCGTGGTATATTGGACTAAATTTCTCCTGGATTGATGTTTCCATGCCCTGTGGATGGTCTTTTTTTTTCCTTTTTCTTCATTTCCTTATTCTCTCTGTGTGTGCGTGGGGGAAAGTGGGGAAGCATCTGTTGCTGCATGGATATCCGCTACTCATTTCAGGGGCTTTTAGGTTTTTCTGGTCACTAAATTATTCTTTGTTAGTATCTAGCTGCTGGAGTTTCTGATTGAATATTGGTGATCTATTTTGGGGGTTTTTATTTTCACTGATATAAATTTCGGGAGTGCTCAATGATAAAGTGGGTTTGTGACAGTGTAACAGGCATCTGCTTTTATTTCTGGATCATGGACTTGTTTTGATTGAACACATGTAGGTTATTCTTGAGGCTTTTGATTTCACTAATACATGCTACAGAACTGTGGTCTCATTTAATGGGTTCTGGATTTTGATGATGCTTGTTTCTGGGTTTATTCTTCTTTTCGGATTTGTTTGCCTTTTTCCCCTCCTTTTCTGGTTGATGTTTCTTTCATGTTTCTTGCTAATTTCCCTCCTTTGAAAATTGCTTTGCTTCTTGGCTTATGGTAGATTTACTGGATTACTGTAAGAATGCTCTTTGAACTTTTAATGATTTGAAAAAAACATGATTTGCTTCCCACAGCCAATTGAATTTGAGTGTGGTCTATATGATTATCTTAACTGTGGATAGGTAGCTTCATTTGAATCAATGGTATTTTTGCAGTTATTTTCATTCTTCAAATTTTGAATTGTTATGTTTTTCAAAGTGATTATTTATATCCACTGGATGCATGTTTGTGTAATTTGTCACTGCCCTAAAGCTTTTTAGTCTAATTATTTTGTGGTAGATTGGAGCTTGTTTTGTGGATGATTTCACCAGATTTTGATTTTTGATCACCGGTAGAACTTTTTGAATTGTAACCTAGATGTGATCCCTAAGACAAAACCTAAAACCTCAGCTTTTCTTTTCTTTTCACACCTGTACTTTTGTTTTTGTTGTCCTCTATGGTAGGTTGCGATATCTGTCCATATATCAATATCCTTTCTGAATTTTTGGTTTTGTGTACTTGGACTCCTGGAGTGGTCTTTCATCTGTCTGAATTCACTAAACTGCAGGTTCTTACCAATGGCATAGAGGTGAAGCTTCAGAGGAATGCCCTTAGTGTGATTGAAGCACCAACAGGTCATGAGGATGATGATGACCTGGAGTGTGAAAATATGCAGTGGAATGGTTCAGATTTAGGTAAGTTTCCTTGGCCTCATTTTCATTTATTTCATTTTGAGGGATCAAATGAACGAACCTCCCACCCCCTCAAACAAGAAAAAAGAGGAAAAAGTGGGAATTTTCAGTGGCCTTGGCTTTAGCTAGTGTGGCTGAGAGATATAACTCCCCTTGTTTTGTTTGGATTACCATGTGATCTGCCTGCTAGAAAACTTTCTTTTGAGGAAGAGGAAAGTAATTGTCCTTGTTACTTGGGTATAATTTTTCTGTACTACGTACTTTGTTTTCCTTTCTAATGTTCCCAAAAGTTTGGTTTGATTTTATTACTGTACCTTTCATAGTGCTCTTGTGCACCCCTTTCTTTCATTTAATTTTTGTATTTTTTTAATGCTTTGCAGCATCTAATGATACCCAAAAGTCCCACAGATCCAGGCATCGTTCACATAAATCAGTAGGTTCATCTCAGAAGACCATGAGTCGGTCTCTTTCTTATGATTCACAGTCCAAAGGATCTGTTTCACCTGCTCGAAGTGCCACGGTGTGTGTCTTTTTATGAACCTATGTGTGTCTATTTATTTTGGTAAATCTAGACCTTGAGAATTTAGGATTCACAGGTTATAATAAGTCTCAAGCAATTTCTGTTGTGTGTTTAGTGAAACTTCTAATGATGTCTTCTGCAGAAGGTTGACCTCAGCAAACTTGAAATGACTGCATTATGGAGATATTGGCGACACTTCAATCTTGTAAGTTCCATTGTGCTGTTGCCAAGTGGCTAGTTACTTAATACCATATAGGAATAAATAATTATTTGTTGTAATTTGTGGACATTTCTCCCACAATTATTGAATAAAATTTATGTTTCTTCCATAGGTGGATGCCATCCCCAACCCATCAAAGGAGCAGTTGATTGATGTTGTTCAAAGGCATTTCATGTCACAGGTACTCATGCAAAAAATCTCATCTGTTCTTGCACCCATTGAATAATATAACGGTTTCTAATAATGGGAATAACCATTCTTTGAACAAGTAAACTGTATAGATTAATACTGAAACGAAAGGAAGGTCAATTTAGGCATGTCCTTTACTCTTTCTGATGAAGGGGTAATAGTCAAGAAGCACCCATTTTAAAGGATAAAAATATCTTGGAAAAAAAAGAAATAATAAAGATCAGATATATCTCCTATTAAAGAACTATATCAATCAATATAAAGTTTGACTTTTCTGAACTCAGATGTCAACACCCCTTTTTCCTTGAAGGAGCTTGCTTTGTCTCAAAATTCATTTGAAACCGAATTAGTTTACTTTGTTTATGCAGCAATTGGACGAGTTGCAGGTTATAGTGGGGTTCGTCCAGGCTGCGAAAAGACTGAAAACTATGTGCAACTGACCTTGAAAGAGAAGCATTGTATTTGGTTGTCGGCGCTAACAGATAATCGTAGTTATATGTCCTCTTCCGTCAGTTTCTGTAACATATGTATTTCTCCTTGGCTTATTATCTTGTTAGGAATTTGGGTAGCTGGGTTGTCGGAGTTATGGTAGTCCTAATTATGTAGATATTTCAACTAATGTGACTTTGAACAACTCCTCGTAACTAAATATGCTTGCCCAAGTGCATTGCTCACTGTTTGGGGGAAGTTCTACTTTTTCCTTTTTCATTTTCACTAATGTATATTCTTAGCTTAGCCGAGTTAGCTCTTATTTTTCGCACATTGATCATTGTTCAGCGTCGCTCTAAGCCTCTAATCACTCCACCAATTTGTGTTCTGCTTTACTGTGTGGGTACCTATGTTAAACGAATGAACGCACTACATATGTACGGGAGAATGGATGTTATGTGAGCAGCACTCGGCAGAGTTTTTGCTTAGCACTTGGCAGGAGACGTAGGTTCCTGCACTTTTGTCGAGTACTGACTAATAGTAATGGGCTTTTTTATGGTTCACTGACTCGATTATCTACTTTTCCTAAAAAAAGTAAAAAATAAAACTGGATCCACTTTTTACGACGTGGGTTTTAACTTCAACCTGACCTGTCACCGACCATCCTACAGCTACAGGGGGAGAAGATAGCTTAGATGAGATAGAATTATCTGAGTCCGTTGGTTGGTCTCTAGAGTATTCTTATTATGGGGCTCGTCCTATCAGAAACCCCAAAAGTTTTTAGAATAGGCTGTTTTTGGAGCTTTTTCTCGGCATGACAATTGACACCTTATTCCATTCAGAATTCAATGCTTGTTTCGTCTTTAGAATATTAGTTAAAATTACTCTTTTACCCAACATCCATGATAGCGTGTCATGCATGGATGCAACTCAAAGTTGTTATCATCTTGACCTTGTAAATAAATGGTAGGCCTTAACGCCAAGTTTTTCCAGGTTGATCTCGTGTTCCCTAATTGTATTTCGTTTTCCAAGTTTATTACTTTATTCCGAAAAGGCATGACATCTGAAAAACGGATAACCGAGTATTATACTCTCTCCCGTGAGTTTGGACTTGGATGGATAGATTATCACTTTTAAGATACCGCTTAATTTGGTATAAGATTGTTTCGGTATCGAGTATATTATACTCTCCATCCAGTAGATAGATGAGCATCGCTCGCTACTGTTGATTTGGGCCATGCAACTGAGACCATAAGATTAGGGTGGTTTCATTAGGGTAGGAGCAGAAGTTGTTGGGTTCGTTTAATTATCTTGGCTCTTGGGCAGTGCCTGCATTGATGCTGTAGGTGTGTAAGAGCAATTTTCAAATTGTGACTTGTTGAGGCTGATAAGACGACGCTTGTAAAGTTGTAGGTAACAAGTGAAGGAATTAATGTGTTGTTTTACAGCTACAGGCTTTTCTTTTCTTTTCTTTTTTGAACGCAATTCCGTTCAAACAACAAAAATGGGGAGTTTAAGCGAGAAATGTCGTGAAACAAACAAGAAAGCTGAAACAATGAAATCTGAAGGTGAGTCAAACCAACGGTGGCATTGAGAAGAAGAGAATGTATGATGAGCTAGCAAATGGGCCACTGCATTTCCCTATCTATAGTGAGAATTCGAATGAGGGCTTTGCAAATTGCAATCACGACGTTTGAGAACTTGCGGGGTGATTTTATCTAGATAAATATTTTCTGGAAAATGTATCTAATAAGACAACAACCATTTTAACTATAAAATCCAATATTAATAAAAAGGATAACTTTGTCCCATCTAAGTGTTGATAACTAACCCCAGGTCCCAAAGTTATTTATCTACCTCATGGGAATAAGTGATATGTAGGAAAAATAAATTTTCCATGAAATCTACATAAATTTGAACAAAAAACACGAATATCTTAATCAATGATAACCAAAATCTTATTAACCCAACTTTTCCCACTCCTAAATTCAAAAAACAAGCACGCCCTTAAAAAATTTTGAGCAGCTTGATGAGGACAAGTGGCAATTGCAGCATCAGTAAACTTTTCCCACTCATTGTTGAAGTAATTGATAGAAGTGGAGTACCCGATGATTCTCCCCCAGGATTGTCCTTTTATAAGTTGGTGGTGATGAACTTATCTAAAACATACTTATCAGAGTCTACAAGCTGCATGCATATAGAGGTTGAATGTATTGGTAATTTGGTAAGGGAAAAGACCGCAGACAAACTGTGAATCAAGGCCCTCCACAGTCCACTCCACCTTGAATTGGTTGGAAACTTGGCATCGTTTCCCACGGCCACGGGTAAGGCATGGTATTAGCCTTTTAGGTAATAGGTAATGGGGTTTTCTTCTTTGCAGTTAAATTTGGCTAACAATGCTTGTAGTAGATTCTCGTTGGGTAATTTCCTGATTCGCTAGACGCTTATTAGGTATGGCGGCATGGTGGGTTTTAGGGAGAGGGGATTTTTCCTCATAGAGATTGGGTTTGGGGGGACATTGCCTGCCACAGTGGACAGGGCTTGGGATTAACAGTTCCCGGGATAACTCAGCAATGTCTTGTCCTGAAAGAAAGATGGTGGGTACACGAAGGTCTCTGTATCAGATTTTTTTTAGGCTCAGTTTGAAAAAAAGTACAATACAAATATATGCAAAAATTGGGTCTTAATATTTTACTCTTATTCATGTCTATCATGAGATAGACAGAGAGAGGGTATCTAGTATCCTCCTTAGTCTCCTACGGCCTGAAGTGGGTCACAAAACCAAGTCGTCCTAACATTGTCATCGGATTCTCACCGGTCAGCATGTGCTTGATGTCTTGTAGCAGGTTCCAGTCGGTGGAATCTGGAATATAGGGCAAAAAAGTCCATTTTGGTGGCTGACCAGACTAACCCTTTACGGCGGTTTGTCCTTTTATTTCTTCACTGCTTGAAAACGGAGCCATCTTCAATAAGTCTTCATTTCATTTCAATGTACACTTAAAGTTTTCTTTTTTGTTTGTATAATTAATGTTACTGTGGCTCACAGTATTCAAACATCGTATTCTAGGTCTTGTGGATCATATAAACAAAATAAAAAACAAAAGAAGAAAAAGCGAACAAATTCATCTATTTCACTATTTGACTGGTGTTAATGGTTCAACATCACTTAAGGACTGTCAGATTAGGGTTCAAGTGGGTGAATTGAATGACTTAGGCTTCGTTTGGTTCACAGGAATAGGGTCTGACTATTTCTGTTCTAGCTGTTTGGTTGGATAAAATTGCAATTCCATTTTCATTCTTGGTAGAATAATATTCCCCATTTGAAAGAATGGTTATTTCCTTTCTTTCATTTGAGAATGAAATCTCTTTCTGTTAATTCCAATTTTCATTCTCCAACTCCGATTCCCACTGCAAACCCAACATTATATATTTCATTCAGCCATTAAAGAGTATATATTTAATAATATGTAAATAGAAACGCAAATGAATGCGATGTTATTTAACCCACACTTACAGAGTTGATTTACATGGAACTATCGCTCTCTGTTTGGTCCTCTCCCCCTAACCAGTCTGTCTGTCTGGACTCCAATTAATGGGCACTTTGGCCTTGGAGGGAATAAGGGATCATGGCCTGTGTGTGATATGATAACAGGAGTACAACCTCTTGAATGTGTTTTCCCAGTAGCCAGTTTAATGCATGGTACTACATTCAACTTGATTCTCTCATTCAAATTCAATGTCTCATTCAACTTGGTTTTCTCACTGCCTCACTGGTACGCCTCTCCAGGCTTTGTACAGTTTGAGGACTGTGATAGTGGGATCATTGCAATTGTTTAGATAGACTACTCTAGCTAAGGTAGGTAGGTTTGGTTGGACACTCAGCTCGGATAGTAGTTTATCTGTTTATGTTTCAATTTGCTAGGTTGCAACAGGGTGTTTGGTTTTATAGGCGTTCATTCAATATTATGTTGATGTAGAGTCTAGTGGTGCTTAATTGTCATAAACAATTGTAATTATTACTTTTTTCGGTTTTATAAACAAATAAAGTATAAATGTTGAATGAAAAATATAAATGAAATCAAACAAATACTTGGTTTTCTTCAAAATTTGATTAATCAATGTTTGTAATCGACACAAAGACAATGTATACATTAACTGGCATTATATATTGCCTAGGGCTAGGGCGGTTATTTTAATCGATGGGTATGTTATATAAGATGTGTGTAGATAGTAGTTTAAGTTCACGAAGTTGCACTCAAGCCAACAGAATTGAAATTTCTCAACAGTTTGGCTTTGATCCAGCCTTGCTAGCCGTGTGGAATCCCTGTTTCCCCATACACTTTGAGGGTGTTTGGTTCTGTTTACGTTTATTCAGTAAATGTTTTGTATTTGTGTGATTGTAAAACCGAGAAAAACAATTAATGAAGTTATTTATGACACATAAGTGCTATTAGGCACTATATCAGCAAAATGAATAAATGCCTATCAATTTCAGGAAATTCCAAAACCAAGTTTTCTGAAATAAGAAAGGCGCACAGAATTTACAAACTTCCATACACACGAATACAATTAATGAGGCATTTTCTGACAAAGCACCTATGTGACACTATGAATAAATGTAAACGAAATCAAACATATACTTCATTATTGCATAAAGATTAAAACTGTACAAAGAGGTTTATATCCTTTTTCCTCATTTTCATCATCCTCGTCATAGATCTTCTTTGATAAGAAATGAGGCCTTATGGCTCAGTTTGAAAGAAATACAAATACAAATAAAAATGCATACAAAATGATATAAAATACAAGGTTTTACACCCTCCAAATTTATATTTATACTACTTACAAACTAAGCCTAATACAATTCATACTCATAAAAGATCAAGAAAGAGATTACTAAAAAACTTGATTCTATCATTCGTTCTCTTTATTCAAGTACAAGTCATCTCTCATGTAAAAGTCAACGTAATACAAGTGTTGAAGAGGATAATGTTAGATTGGTCGAGGAAGGCCGGACCGGAAACCCATGAATTTGTTTTGTCAATCAATGACATTTTCACATCGGAGAAGTTTCTGATCGTTTGTTATTTTCTTTCATAGTGGCCCGTAATTGGTGGCTTTAAATCCAATTTTTTTTTTTTTAATACTTTACCTACTCCACTCAACTGTCAAGTGTCAACTGTCAACATAAACTTAAAGAGAGAAGGAGAGAGGAACTTGGGAGGCTTCCTAACCCACAATTGATTGACCTTGTTTGGATTTCGTTACCGAAAAGCCAAAAGCGTGGATTGATAACTATAATAATATTTTATCAGAGACCGGGAACGATAT